ATCGCCAATATACAGTTTTCCCTGTTTCAAGCGCAACCCCTCGGATAGGGACTTATGTCCGTGTATAACTTTGGTTTTACTCTGGCTCAATCTTTAGCCACTTATTAACTCTATATAGGTAAATTTCAGATACCAAGTTAAACACTTTTTTCATGTAAAACGGCATATAAAACAGCATTTAAATATTCTGATAACAGAGGTGTCAAACTCGCTTACATTGTCGCAGAAATTATTATTGCCTAATAATGTTTTCCAATATTATCCTGAAATTTCAGAAGGTGTAACCTTTGAGGAAGAGGTGGACGGGTCGAAGTCTCTCCCACTGCGTTTGGGTTGTTATGTGTATCACTATAATCCGTAAAGTAAATGAACAGCTATGCTTTCTAGCATAGCTGAAATTGAAACGATACTTCAATAAATTTCATTGCCTTCAGTGAGACGTAGTTGCACAGTTCTGGACTTATCAGCTAAGTTCGGGTGGGGCACTTATCTGAGAACTACCTTGGACTTACTGCTTAGATGCTACAATTTTCCCTAAGCAATCTTGTTTCTCCATTACATCGCCCGTTTTACACAGATGCCCTCTATTCTACGCTCTTACCTCTTCCACTTTGTTTACCCTTTCGTTGCAAATCTCTCACCTCCCTTTCTTCGTGACAATAAACGAAGCAAAATAAATTTCAAACCCGCGATAATACTTTTTTTAGGAAATGTTTCGGCATGCCTTCATTGGTTCTTTATGTCGTATACGTTTAAAATTAAGCCCAGCTAGAAATATTTTTTAAAACCCAATTAATATCTCAGCAGACGCCGAAAAGTTCAGAGTCTGGTGTACCACCTCACACACACACACACACACACACACACACACACACACACACACAGACACACACTCACACACATTTCTGTTAAACTCGGTTGCATATCGTCTTATTTACGTATGGAAATATAATTTCCAAAGATTTTTCGCGGGAAAACAAAAAGGAAAGTGACCGCAATGAAGGGAATGGAATCCACTTTTAAAAACCTAAAATAAGGTTCTGTAACTAATGCTTTCGTTTTAAAAAGTTTTGACATCTGCCATAGACCATGAGGAGCAGCGAGTACTATGTTTTCTCTTTATCGTTATTTAATTCTATTTATTTTCTGAAACCAGCGGTATTCCCTTGTTGCTGCTAAAATAATTTTCGTTTCCAACACAGAGTAAAAGCTATGGAATGTTTAAGATCATCTAGAACCCAACGTTTGCTCTAGGACTGCCCACCCTACACATGATTTCCTCTTCAGGTCTTTTTTACTCATGCGGGGTCAAGGAAAATTCGCCTCAAAAGACAAAACGGGGAAATTTTATCAACTAATAGCTTCGAGGGCTCCCTGTAGACATATTTTAAATTCCCAATCAAACTCACAATATCGCTGACTCACAGCGTCATCTCCTTTTTGTGCACGAGGAGAATATTTTTGCACAGGTAAGAATAGTTTTTTTTGGCTCGAATAAATATGCTTGTACAGAGATTATTATTTTGTCTCACTTGTACACCACCGTAACAAACAGTTTTCATTACGATCTTTGACATGTTAATGCTGCTACAATTGTTTTTGGCTGAAGAAATTTTGATGGCTCTAATATACATAGGGTACAACCAGAAATTGTACTTGCCGTGGCGTAGTTTTTTCCAACATCTTAAGGATATTAGTTTTTAAGACCAATCACAGCGAAAAAATCAGACGATAATTTAAAGATTCGACAGAGACCGCAGCAACAATAGAATTGAATGAAACTAGGCATTAACTCTAATATTCTCAGCTTACAACACAGCCTAATTAAGGTTACACTACTGAATTGAACCAATCTCATTTAACCAGAGAGAGTTCAACGATACATTTTGAATAGAATGATTAGCAAAGCAGTAATTGTGGTTTATAAACCTGCTCTAGTTTCAGTTTTAACTATTTTCACAAATTATTCAAACAACAGGCATTACATGTACTTAAACATGAACTTGAAGCCAATAGAATCAGGGTCTATCTTAGGTTTTCCACTCTTTTACCAGCAAAAAAAGTACAGGCGTCAATTCAGCATTCAAAGACGTGGCATTTAACTGTTCCATGCTCTAATAGCAAGACACTATAGCTGCTAGAAAATTCTGAGTTCGAGAATTGATCAATGACGATGAATCTTCGAATACTTTTAGTTATTTCTAGTTTAAAACAATGAAGTATTTGGGAGACCAAGAACGGTGGCATTCGAGGGACCTAACACTGCTGTTTCTGTTGCATAAAAGCCAAGTGGCAATTACTCACAATTAATTAATAGTCGAGTATGCATTTTTTGGGAATATTTAAGAACTTTGATTATTGAAGCTATGGTTACTGATATTTTTGAAGAAAACGTCTTAGTTATGCTTTCCTGTTGAAGTCTAAGAAATTTAAGGACTTGGGAATATGTACATATCTCTTAATAAGTGTTACGAACTTGAGACAACAAAGTGTAGTTTTATTGCACTAATATGTACCCCATGGCTTTAATACTCTTCCATTCATTATCTGGACTTGACTCGTCGGCCTGGTTTCCGCAAGATTTTCCATTATTAGGGTGGCTTCCTGTACCAAATCCAATTAAAGAGTTGCACGTGTGGCAGTCGTTCTCGTTATTGCTAACAATACCAATTCTGACTCTAGAACGATTACTCCAAGTACTAAAGGCATTGAATCCTTCCATGTTGCAGTTTTTCTGTAATGAGGCCTCGCTGCCAATCAACTTTTTCCACTCGTCACGACCCAGTGAGGTGTTACGGTATCGCTCATCAGCGATCAGTGAGTGCAGAGAGTCGGCTTGTTTGTTGATGACAATGAACTTGAACTGTTCGCCGATCTTCATTCCGAGACATATTTTGGAGAAGGAGGTGTTCCAGTAGGTGGGTAGCTTTGTTTCCTGTTTGTCAAACCCAGTCTCTCCACCGGGGCGGTTGTATTCATCGTAATTGCTCCAATACTGTGAGTCATAATGGAAGGTGGTCTGAAATGTAGTAACAATACATTTTTGTGTTTTCTCTAAATTGATGGATATTTGCTCTCTGCCTCCTGTTGTGTATCTGCATATATCTAGTTGTATTAGTATAAGTATTTATTTTTTTCTCCTCCATTTCGATAGATTAGAGTCTAATGAATAATTACAAGTGAGATAAGAGGGTGGAGAAGGGCATAATATAGTTAGCTAAATAGATACTCTTTACCTTAAATTACATTTTTTCATACAGTAAAAAGAAGCGATACAATAAGATGTAAGATATAAGATACAAATGTAAGATACAATATATGAGAGGGAATAGGAATCACACCTTAGACAACAAATATTTAAATAAAACATAAAACGTATAGATATAGGAATATCATTCGAATAGTAGCACCCTATAACTGTTGGAAAGAATTTATTTATTCAGAAGTGGCTGGGGTTCAGGTGTTGCGAAGATGTACTTCTAACGGCATAATCATGGATCTCAGATACAAAAGAAAGGGCAAAATTAGAAGATTTTTTGTCTACAATATAACCGTAGAATAGTTGACACGTACTCAATTTAATTACGTCAGGAAGCTTAATTAGGCCGAGGCTTACATAATGGGGAGTAACATGGTCACGAATCGGTACATTGTTGATGATTCTTATAGCTTTGTTTTGCAGCTTTACCAACTGAGATAATAGAACTTCGTAATTATTACCCCACAATATGCAGCCCCATGTTAAATAAGGATGTACAAGTGCACAGTATACACATAGAAGAGATTGAACTGTTAAATGTTGTTTCAGTTTTGCGATTATGTTTAGACTTTTGCTAATTTTACTGCTAATATAATAAATATGATCATGCCACAACATAAAGGAATCGATAACTAATCCTAAGTATTTAACAGTGTGAGCTGTTACATGATACTGGAGGAAAACACGTTAGGATATATTTATACATTCTTTTAAACTTTTCTTTTTCAAAAGTCATTATAAACACCATAGGTTTTGAAATTTACGTTGAACAAAGTCTGTTCTTCGTGCATTATCTTCTTCATACATATGTGACATGCACGTTTGCAATTTGCAACGTTTTGAAAGAGAGCGGGTCTATATACGAAATAAATCATTCATTAACAGTATGCACCTCATTTCCGTTAATCTTCATGACTGGCGTCCATCCTCCATCTCCACACCCAAAATTTCCCATGTGGCAAAAAACGGACAATGGTTTCGAGTCAACAAGAAGGGTAACCACACCACTCATACTTAATCGTTTGAATAAAAAAGGAAAAAAAAGGAAAACAAGAAATGAAGTAGACAATGATAGTGAAATAAAACTAAAGCTTATTAAATAATTTTCATAACTACGATGAAAATGGCGAAGATACTGAGTGATAACGATAACTATCCAACAAATACGCAAATGAAAAGTTGATCCCTCAGGAAAATACGTTGATAACTCCGTAACATAAACGACAGCCTTCATAGCAACAATGCTCGGTTGTTTGTCCTGCAAGTAAACAGGTGTCCGCGGACAAAGGGTATTTTTAACTTCTTCTTTGAAGGCAGTAATAACTCCAACAAAATGAGTCAAGGTTTAAAGGAGGACTACTTCGCGTATAGAATATGGTTTAGAAATTTTTGTATGCCCGGTGACGTGATGGCTTAAACAAATTGTAGGCAAGCGAAATATTTGATGTACTATAAAAATAATACCGAGTATCAATTCTACTTACATGTCATGAATTTTTTTACACGAGTTAGCTCCTGGAAGAAGTTTAAAAATATATTTGATTAGAGGGAATTGTAAATTTTTTTTTTAGCTATATCTTAATCCATCATTGGGAAACTATTTTGAGCCCAGTCTGACTGACTGACCGAATTATTTTGTCATGTTCCAGGCTCTGCTTTGTGGCTGAGAACAGTTCTCAGTTTTCTTTCACTTTGTTTGGCAGCATGTATGTTTTCTTCAAATACACCATTGATAAAAAGCGACGTCGGGAGGGCATCGATTGTTGTTATCTTTATAAAACAATCATTTTTTTACTTAGCCAGAGGGGCTTTGAAATTAAGCTGCGGATATTGTGTTATCATGTCAACTCTACACGCTATAGTATATTGATTGACTGCTCTCAACCAATCAGATTTTTCATAATTCGTTTAATGTTTAAAAGTGGTGGTTTTCCGGCACCTTTGGTAGCCTTAAATAGTATGATAAAGGTAGTAAGATTCTTAAAATTGCGTTGCAATGTTTGCTTGGTAATACCTGTAAATTCTCAACTAGTGTTTTTCATCTGCCGATTTCCTCTATATTTCGACCCCAACGTTTACCTTCACATTCTCGTCCATTTCCAGCGAGTCCATGTTTACATGTGCAACTGTATGACCCTTTGGTGTTATTGCAAAATGCGTGAGGACTGCAGGTGTGTAGCGTGCTAAGACACTCGTTGATATCTCCAAAATAAGTAATAAAAATAATGGAAAAAATAGACAGACAAATAAATTAACAATTAAGAAAATAGCAAAATATACGGATGCAAGACGGTTAAGTGTTTATCCTGTACTATTTGGTTTTTTAGCCAAAGTTTTTGATTTGTATCTTTTGTGCCCGTGGGTGTAGCAACACTGTACAGGCATTTCACACATTTTATAAGAAATTTCGAAATTAGAAAATCCTCCTTTGCTCAATATTCCCAAAAGTAACACTCACCCTTGCATTCTCTTCCACTCCCAGTGAATCCAGGTTTACATGTACAGTTGTAAGACCCCTTGGTATTGTTGCAATAGGCATCAGGGCTGCAAGAGTGTGACCTTACGACACACTCGTCGATGTCTGTAAATATAACGCCGACAAACAATTGACAGAAACACATAAATAATTTAAAAGGTTGGCAGCATTACTTGATATTCGTATTTGATTTGTACAGCATTGATAGTTGTTGTTAAGAATATCAAATAGATTTCTGTAGCCGTTGGACAGTCTGTGCAACAAAAGATGAATGAAACTAAGAAACAGTGATCAGTAGATTGATTCCATTTGGTGCGAAAAACCTTTCATTATCAAGAGTAATTTTTTTCGATGTGATTTTGTCTACATGTATCTCTGCCTGAGTTCAGTTTCGCTATGTATTTTTCTGCTGAGAGAATCGAGATGTAAGTTACGATTCCTTTGTTGATAATTTACAGATGTAAGCTTCATTTTTTCATCACATAATTGCTATTGAATCCAATGTCTACCTCTACATTCTCGTCCATTTCCCGTGAATCCATGTTTGCATGTGCAATTATATGAACCTTTAGTATTGTTGCAAAACGCATCAGAGCTGCATTTGTGTAGTCCACGAACACATTCATTGATTTCTGAATAAGAAAAAAAAAGTACACCAATAAATGAAAACAAAATTATCGTACAAAAAAGTAAAAGACATGGAAGCACCAACAACTTTAAAAAAATAAGACAATAAATGTAGGCCTTTTTTACATACTGTTCTTAGCATGGTAAACGTAGTCTTTTTTTATCATGATCACTACAGTTACCTTGTAAGTCACAAGCAGTACTGATGAGCTTCAAAACAGTGATATCTTTTTTTTTTCTTTTATTCCGGAAAGCTCTGCAGGTAGCCAATTATCTTTTTGCTTGTGGTTACTGTATTTTACAATTGTTTCTGTCCACTTTCAGTGCAGCCCAGCAGAAGATATGTTAAGACGAATAAGGAGAAGGAAGATGACGAGAAGAAATGACAAAAAACCAAAAATTCGCCTTTGAGTTGTGAAGGTGAAGAGACCGCAACAAAGGCCTGTTGCGCTTCGGTTTTACTGGCTAGTAAGAGCGGTTTACGCAACACAAGGACGGAAAAAGCTGAATTATTCCTTATTGCGACCCATTTAGCAAGCAGCGGTAAAGTTTTTCCTCGTCTTTGTTAAACTAAACGTCTCAAGGTATTAAAATAAGAGTTGTGTTTACCTCTTTCGCAAAGTGGACCCTCAAATCCAGCGATACACAGACACTGATAACCTTTCGTAGTAAATCCACTTTGACAAGTATCATTGTTGTTACATGGATTTTGAACACAATTGCTCTGACAGAAGAAACAAACCGTTGTCATTGTCATTGTTATTATCATCATGATAATCATTTTCATCACCTAATAGTCAACCGCACCGCTACCATCATCAATATCGCCATAGTTATCCTTATATCATAGTTGTCCTTCTATTACTATATTTCTCCAATAACTTTAAAATGTGTTGTCTTTTAGGAGATTTTGGTGAAGAGCACAGACACAATATTACCGCTAATATCTTAAAAGAGGGAAAACAACTAGAGTTCTTAAGTAAAGGTGAACATGAAATTAAGAGTTTTAAAAAAATCAACAAAGTAAACCAATCTGACTCTTAAATTGAAAGTTACATTTACCTCAGCTGCGTGATAAGAATACATTTTTTGGTCTATCAACTTTTCTTCGTGTCCTTCATGAGTAGCATTGTTCAGTTCACATTTATAGTTTCCTTTTCCATCTGCCCGTGTATAAAGATTAATGCTGACGCAGTAGGGCTCCATGTAACACAAGTTTTCACAGAACCTAGAAACTGTTATTTCTACGGTGCGAATTGTGTGGTTTACGAGGCGTTTCCCTTTAAATGCCTTCTCAGGTCCAAACTCCAAACTACGACATTGGTCCGCGATGCAGACACCTATGAAATGGAGATAATAATACATCAAATGCAACGTTATTGCTTATGCTGATATGTTGAGAATTACGGAAAACTTGGTAGGTGATATTTCACTATCAGTTGTGTTAGACTTCAATTTTTTTCTTCGTCTACTTTATTTCTATCTTGCAGAAAGTGTTACAAGAAAAGGGATATACAAACCCTCGGCCATGTTTCGGGTGTTATTATGAGAGTAGGTAAACACGTACATGGCAATTCTCTATTGTTCTTAATTAAATTGAAAATTATCTCATTCCTGTTTCGCTTCTTTTGAGGGCTTGTATTAAAGGCAGGTATCTTCGGAAAGATGGCAATCTGTGGACAGCTTGGGTCAGTGGAGGAATACGACTATGGGGGTTCAAATTCCTCGGCAGAAGTTCTGACATCGATTTTGTAATCGTCTGTGCTTCGCTTTGTAGAATTCTTACTTAATTACAGTATTGTGCAAAAGTAATGCAAACGGAATTCGGCGAATTTGGTTATTTGTTCTGACGATCTTTCGTCGAAAGTTCGAAGCCTGTTAGGCGATATTTCGTTTGAACAGAGAAAGCTTTTTCGTTGAATTTTCGCCACGACGCGAAAATTCTGCGGCGGAAAGTGTATTTCGATCATTAGTGTTAGAAACTTCGCTTCAAACTGACAATGGCCTTCCACGAATGCTCAAGTTTGTTTATTATTCATATATGCAACAATAAATATTTTTAAACGTATTTCCAACATTTTGGACAGACAGAGACACTTAATAACTGAGACTAAACACAGTAGACAAAAGGACTAAACATCAAAAAGTTATCACGTCCGACGGACTCTGGGCTCGATCTATGGATGACAACGAAAATCGGGCAAATTGTACCAAGCGTTCGCGTCTTACAGTAATTCCGACCATGATACATGTACTTAGCTGAAATTATCTCCCAGACGAATCCAGATATTTTGCACATCAACTCCAGTTTCCTGATGTTTAAACAAGCCTA